AACAATAGCTACAGCAACATAATCGCATTTAGAATCAAACTACTCTCAGGCACTCTGCCCACTCGCAAAACCCTTCACCAGCTGTATCCTGATCAGTATCCAGATGCCTGGTGTCCAAGGTGTGAACTTCATACTGAAGATATCTGCCACATCTTCAAATGCCCTGAGATCTCCATTGAAGCTGACCAAATAGTCAAAAACATCAATTAAATTCTCCACCCAAACAATAACCAAACACCAATTTCAGACATATGGCAAGTAGCCGAATTATTCTGTGGCTTTACAGATAAAATCTTCTCCCTAACAGACTTTTCCAACTGGGTTAAGGCAGCTAATGAAGCTATAACCCAGTTATACAACCTTATTTGAAAACTACGCTGCTCCACAGCCAAGACGTCACCATCTACCGGAATTAAATGGAATTTCGACAAACCTTTCACATCATCTCTCTCTCATAAACTATCCAACAATCACGATCCTCAAGTTGAAACCCAACCAACCATTATCTCTCCTGAAGAAATTATAATTGACCTACCCAACATAGTTGCTAATACGTTTATTCATTGTAAATATAATTATCATAAATGCATTCAGAAATTAATATCTTTATTACCCGACACCTCTTTCCTTAATACTGAGTAGGTATTCATAGCTGCTTGGTACCTTTTGACAAGATATATTGTTTTAAATTTTCTTTTCAATATTAGTCAAATGGTTACTGTAGGCAAGCTAGCATTTAACTCATTGTATTTGCATATGAGAGATGTTGTTTCTTTCACGATGTATACCTTGACATATACAAACCAAATAAAGAAATGATGTTTACTTACAAAAAAAAAAAAAAAAAAAAAAGGAATATAAATAATTAATAGTAGATAGTCAGATTAGATAATAGTCAAGAAGAGTTTTTGTTTTACTAATGCAAACCTTTTCTTTTTCTTTTTTCTTCTTACTTTTAATTTCTTAAAAAATAAAAATTTTTATTTCTTAGAACTACAGATTCATGTTGAAATGACAGTCTGAATATAGACTAGTGATAATCTTTTAAAACATAGACTTTTGAAATTTTTTTTGAAAAGGAGCAATATTATTATTTCTTACAATCATATCTAAAGAGTTTAGATTTTAAATTATTGATGAGTGTTTTGCAAAATTATGCTAGTTTAGCTTTAGTATAATATCATATGTATTGTATTGTATTGTATTACTGTTTTTCAAAAATTGAATTAATAAATGCTTTTATTTACAATCTGATTAGAAGCTAAAAAAAAAAAAATTATAATAAAATAAAATTATAAGTAAAATAGTTTTTTTATTATTCTATATTATAATAATAACAGTTTACAATATTAGCTTATTTGTTTAAATTGAAAATATAAATAATTTTTAAATTCTTTTTTTTTTAAGAGCTAAGGTATGATACATGCAAGGATTTTTATTGTAAGTTTTGTAAATTACAATTAACCATTACATGAACAGTCTATGTTTAACTGACACATTGCTCTTATTCTAACCCAAGTACCAACTTACACCATGGAGGTGGGTTCATACTTGAGCGTGGACTTCAGAGAGCTTTTTATTTTGTATTTTTTACCTGTTAGCTATCACTAGGGTCTCTTATCACTCAACCCGACAACACACATGCCTGATATCATGGAGTTTATTTCTTTACACTTTCTAGTAAATGCTCCAAGAGTTTTCCTATAGTTGGCACACACTACCAATTCTGGGGGCTCGGTTGTTGGTCAAGTGGGATGTGACTCCTTAAGGATTACTCCTTACTCTCCCAGTAGACACTTCGATAGGTTTTTTAGTTGGCTTAGGCTGCCAAATCTAGAGGTACAAATACCAAGCAGGGCGCAACTCCTGTAAAGTGGCCATGAATTTCTAAGCATGTCCTGTAAGATTTCAACCTGAAAGTGATCGTTAATTGTCTAATAGAGTTAACAGGTTTTTTTTTTATAGTCTCATGGACTATAGAAAAGAAAGCAACCAATGTGAAACTGGGAAATGCACCAAGCGCAATGTTAATCATCATAACACCAACCAGATGATCAACACTACACGACACCTTTTCTGGAAAACACAATCTCAACACCCGCTGAATCAGTGTGTGAAATGGCTTCATATGAGAAACAGCATATAACAGGTTATGATGCCAGATACCATATGGAACTGTTCAATCACCTTCACCTGGGATTGAACCGGTATCTTGTGATCTGACCTGTGGAGTGCTAACCATTGCACTATGGACCCACAGGTCTAAAAATAATTTTTAAATTCTATTTTAGGATTATATTAGATTTATTATATGAATCAAGACATACAGTATATACAGTAATAATATGAAAATATAATTTAAAATCAAATATATTAAATGTTGCTTGGTCAATAAAAATGTATGCATATATAATTTGAAATATTTATATAAAAATAAGACTTATTTTTAAATTTGTGTGTAATATAACGACGATTCATTTCATAAAAAGAAAATCCAATTTAATATAAACCTTCTGAGTTTACATAGGAACTATTAATCACGAGTTTTTAAATTAATGTATTCAATACAAGTAAATCGAAAAAGGATCAAAGTGTTACTGCAGTTTCTTACTCTTATGATTGGGAATGCGAATATTAAATGTAATTGCAAAGAATCAGTTGTTCGTTTTCATAACGAAGATTACTTTGTAATGCGGCACATAATGTTTGATCTCGCATCTTTGCAAAATAAAAAGATCGAGTGCGGAAAGGAATGCAATAAGGCATTGCGCGGTTAATTAGAGGAGTAAGCGAAAAACTAACTGCTATCGATACGACCCTTGTTTTAATTAGGTTTACATTTTATAATTTTCCATTAATTATCCGGAAATACAATTTTATTTGTTTGAATCACAATTCCAATGAGATGTCGAAGTTCATTAAAATTTCGATTGTCATTTTTTACCAACAATAGGGGATCCCTCTTTACTAGCATATTCGGTCCAACTCCCATCATAAACCGCCAAATTTTTTGCACCGATTTTCTCTAAAGCCGAATATAACATAGTTGCCGTGACACCGCTACCACAACTTAGTATAATAGGTTTTTCCAAATCGACATTTTTTGATTCAAAAAGTTTTTTCAGCTCTTCGTCTTTAAGCAAAGTATTTTTCGTATTGGGGTCAATTACCGAATTGAATGGAACAGAAATAGAATGGGGCATGTGCCCACTTGGAAGTCCGGGACGCGGTTCTGGAGCCTCTCCCGTGAAACTGCAAGAAAGAATCATTAATCATAAAATAATCCAAATTTTAATAGGAATGAAATACAGAAATTTACCGTAATCCTGGTCTAGCATCAAGAACTTGTTCAAGATTAGAGTCAATATTCTTCCTAATATCATCATAATTTCTAACTAATTTTGTATTCAAAGTTGGAACAGTGTAGGATTTTGGCTGCCAATATTAAGCATAATACGAGAGTCATTTAATTAAATATTTATAAAACACAAATGAAATATTAAGGATTACCTTAATGTCTATAGGACCACTCTCTATCTCCCTGTTCTCTGCTAACCATTTTGGTAAGCCACCATCAAGAAGAGATATTTTTTTGTGACCAAAGACCTTAATTCATATAGAAATATGAAGGGGTTATTTGTTGTAATAAATTTTTTCGCGCGTTTTAAAGTTGCTTCACCTTGAAAGTCCAGTATACCCTGGTAGCAGAAAAAATTCCGACCGAATCATAAACGACTACATAATCACTTTCTGAAATTCCTAGTTTGCCTTTAAAAAAAAGATTTTTTTTTCTTTTAATGGCATGTCAATAAAACTTTGACAAGTTAGGAAAGTTACACTTTACCAACAGCATCTGCAAAATCTTTAGGAGTAGGTAACATATGAGGCAAGTCTACCGATTTATCTTTGATTTCATCAATTCCAAAAAACCTTGCATTCTATATATAGGAGTAAAAACAAGCATAAAAATTTCAGTTTGCAACGTAAATTAGTAAAGTATCAAATAATCTAATAAAACTCCTATGATTACGTTCTCATTTATTTTAAAAAATCAGTAACGAAAGACCTTCAATCTCTTTTCGAAATATTCTTTGTAAGGATCCCTATTAGAATTAGGCATATGCCAGGATCCATCGACCGCTATTATTGAGTCCTGGTTTTGTGCCACCCAATCTGTGGACACCAGAGGAGAGATCGAATTATTGCTAACGCTAGAAGACGATGAGAACGCTAATTTTTATTGAGTTTTTGTAGATGTTAACATTAATGAATTGAGACGAGATAATAAAAAAAAGCTGTACGAGCAACATTTTACCTCTTTGATAAAACTTGGACATCAAAAGCTTGAAAGAATTCATATTTCTTCGGTTGATGCCATTTTTCACCAGATCACTTGGCAATCGAATGAATTGCATGATTGAAGGAAAAAGTGATAAGCGTCCTGAGATTCACAAGAAATAGAATTTCTATGGCGATCAATAAACTTGCAGTAACTCGTGATTATCAACACGCGCCACGACCCACTTTGGAATTCCAAAATGAGAAATAATTTTGATCAAAATGAATACGTGTTCGTACGTGATACGCGTTAAAAGGTTTCTTTTGAGGGTCTAACAGATATTTTTAATGCGTGGACATCTTTGCATTTTGAATAAGTTTTGGTTTTGATCTAACGAATTGAATATATTATAACTAACAGTTTTTATTATAAAATAATTTTAATATAAAAAATCTTCCATTCTAATACACAAGATTTCATATAAATAATATAGAAAATAAAATGATTAATTGTAAATAAAAATAAAAGCAATAAAAATACTTAAGTTCAAATAATAAATAAATAAAATTTTTTTAAATTTTTTAAAACTCAGAAATATTATTTAAAAAACTTGTTTTATTACAAACGGACATTAATTAAATACAAGAATTTATTTAAACAATAATGTGTACTAATATTATATTACCAATTGTTATAAGAAATACGTAAATTAATTGTAATCTATTATAGTTGACTTATTATATTAGTATAAATTGATTTTATATAAAAGAATTTATATTAACAAGAAAAAAAATTTGTAATTAATATTAAAAAACAAAAAATATTTATAAAAATATTTTACAATAAATATTACAAAAAATCTATAAAATTTAAATAATATATATAGTATATTTATATTTAAATTTAAAAATAAACAATTTTTATTTTTTATTTGTATATTACATAATGTTTTCTTTTAAAAAAAAACAATATTATATTATATATAGTGTAGAATATCAATAATTAAATAATAAATAAAATAAATTTTTAAATTTATATATTTATATATTTAAAAAAAATTTATTTATTAAAATTATTTTAATATATAAATTTGTTAATTAAAAATTAATAAAATATAAAATTAAAAACTTATAGATTTATAGTATAGTAATAATACTTTATAAATTATCAGAAAAAGATCCAGGATTCAAACTTATCTGATTATAAGAATTTATTATTTTTATGATTGATTAACCAGCTTTTAATTCATGTTATATTCAATCAATCAAAAATCAATTTTTAAATTTTGTTAAACTGTATATAGATAAAATCTTTGATCTTTTTGATAACTGTGAACTGAAAACAGATTATAGCAAAGAAGATTATTTAAAAAAAAAACTTCTGATTTAATCCTGTTACAAGTTTACATTCTCTTCTGATATGATAGATAGAAATCACAATAGTTTAATTTGAATTAGTTTTAACTAAACTGAAACTAATCTGATTTAAAAACTGTTAATTTTAATTTTTTGTAAACCAATTTAATTCAAAAACTATTGGTTTTAATTTTTTATAAATTAAATTGAAACTGATCCTATTTATATTAATATAGTTTTATTAAATTATTTTATTTTAAATTTAAATTTTCAATTATTATAGTTAAAAATTGTTTAATTTAATTTTTTTAAATTTAAATTTATATATATCAGTTTAAGTCATTATATTTTCAATTAATTATTTTATTCAAATTAATATTTTTATATTTTTAAAAATAAAAAATAAATTTAAACAATATTAATTAATTTATTATATAATAAAATATAAAAATTTATT